TGCATCTGAAAAAAATCAAAAATTAAAACTTTTTGAAATACCCTGTAGGGAACCTCAGGCGTTAAAAACCCGACCGAGAGATTCCGCGAAACTAAGTACGTGAAAATGTTCCTACGCATGCCTTGACCTAATTCCGAAGCAGAATATCCAGCAAATGTGGAGTGGGAAAACGGTATTATCCACCCTCCTCTTTTGTATTGGTATATGGAGTGCAAAAACGGCTAAACAATAATTCGTCCTTTTCTCTTCTGCCTTATCTGTTTGTCTTGCCTGTCTTTTAAGAAAATACAATATTTACATACACTATTTACAAAGCTACAAAAAGATATATTTGCTTGTCATCATTTAAAAGAATCTTTCGTTTACTGTAAAATGAATTCTGTTTCATCGAATTCTTACTGCCTGAAAAGTTCTTTTCCGGTTCTAAGCTGAGAACCAAGAACCGCTGTTCTTTTTGTTTCGCTTCTAACTCGAGAACCGAACGTCCCTACGTTCAGCTGGAACTAAAAGAGATCCATTTGTGAAAACATAAAAAGCTAGTGTCGAATGCAACTTTGTCATTATAATCTAAAATATTGAATGTTCAGAAAAACCAAAACAGTCAGGAGGGTGAAGCTTCAACGAATACTAGCGGCAGCTTGAAAAGCAAACCTATTTTGGGTTATATGAAGAGTAATGAAAAAAGCCAAAAAAGTTCTATAGCAATACCGGACAATGTTATTGCTGAGGAAATTTTTGCATTATTTGAAAGAAGAACATACCGACACTAGTTTAATTTCCAAGAAATTTTCTCTGTACCCGATGCTGAGCTCACTAGCAACTAGAATACTATGCGTGACCAGCACTTCAGCTTCGATTGAAAGAGTGTTCTCTCAATCAGGTTTTCTTATTCGACCACATCTATCAAGAATGTCGAGAAAACCCTCTGATGTCTTACTTTACTCAAATGTAACTTTTCTCTTATGAAGTGGGCTTTTCTTTTCACTTTCGTATAGAAGAAGTCCTGTATTATACTTGTTTTTTAACATTCAAAAAAAACTGACGTTGGATTTAAAGCTTCCCGGACTGAGACTGAACAATTTTAGCGGCATAGCGGAATGGAACAGATTCGGACTTAAGCTTGACTCGAACTGGAAAACACCGAACGTGCCCATCTCTGGGCGGGAAAACGGTGTTATCCGCTCTCCTTCTTTGATCGTCCGTTCACATTAATTTTTTTCTTTCAATGTTGCACTTTTCTATCGTCTGATCTCAACAGTTTTAAGATCAGACAAACTATTAAGGTAACAGTTCGCTCATTTTTCCGAATAAAGCATTTCTATTTTTGTTGAATCATTGATTAATTTATCATATTTTTTAACAAAACGTAGTAAAAGTAAATATCTCAGTATTATGTCTACTAGACACCGAGAAGTTACTGGTTTAAAATCTGCTTTCGCCACACCAGTGCGCTGTTTTCGCCCAAACTTCCAGCGAGCTATGCGGATTAAGTTTACTTGACTAATCGAAATTGTTGTCTAACAAATAAAAGTAAAAAAATAGATTACTGAATAATTTGTGGCTTAACCACCCATTTTTCTGCCCAAAACAGCACACCAGTAGCGCACACCATTCGAACCTTGAGCAACTGCCACTCCTATGTTATTGTAATTCCCATTCAGAATATTATGTCGATGTCCCGTGCTGTTCATCCATGACGTCATAACACCGGCGACTGTTGTCTGTCCAGCAGCAATATTTTCACCAACAAAGGAATAGGTATATCCCGCCTGATGAGCACGATCATCTACGGTTGTCCGACCAGGAATATTTTCGTGATGAGACATTTGTTGTGTTTGTGCCATACGATTGGCATGTGATTGAGCTGTTTTTTGCAATCTCCAATTATAATGCAATTGTGGTAGATGAGCTGAACTGCGGTAATGATTGTGTGCATTGATAAGTGCTAAGAAACAAAAGTCGATCATGAAAATATTGATATACTTCTAATGGAAATTGGGTGCTATCTTTGTAAACAATACATTCGTGATGTGCATGAATCAAGGGGCTTCTCGAACAGAACAGTGGAAATCGTGCAGGCCAACTTTCAAAGCTCGATATCTGGCAACAGCTTGAGTACTATTCTCTACCGCAGCTCTGGTATACTCGTCAAAAAATACTTGCCTTGTTGTGTCATTGGCGTTGTTGTGAATAAGATTTGCCTTTTTATTGAAAATTTTCGTTTTTTATTACCGTTCTGACATCATGGCAGCGATGTAGTCACGTACATACCTGTGATGTATTTACAATTAGTCATTTGCCTATTTGACAAACGACGAAAGGGAAGGGGGGGGCGATTGTGGAATGAATAAACCTTACACAATCATGTGATTACTAGCTTTTGAGACATGAAAAGTTGTGCAATTTTCCAACTTTGAAAAGTAGCAGATATGATAAGACATCGTTTTTCACAATACATTTTCAATTATTTCTTTTTAACAAACAAGATCCGATCGTGTTTTTTCCTGGTACTCGGTACCACATGCGATGGGTTTTTTTGCACACGCAGTCCAGCACACGTGTAGAACGGATCATTCATTAGATCAGGACCTTCTTCCTCTCTCCTACATTGCAGTGTGAAAGAATGTCCGTCTTATTAGATATCACAAACACTTGTTGATTTGCTCATAAAAACACGCAGCAAACAATTTAAAAAGAACTGCTCGACAAAAAACATAACCAGCTTGTTGTGATGTGGTAAGACCACATTCCGGATTACCCGAAATACGGATTAGCTAGAGAAACTGTATACAAAAACTTAAAAAACTTTCCATAAGATTTTATAAGATCACAAAAGATCTTGATCTGATTTTTTGACCTGGAATGTTAAGCTTTTGGTCAAATCGATCATTTAAAAACGCACAAGATACAAACGTTGTCACAGACACTTCTATCAACGCTTCGTCCGATCAGTATCCAGTTCCTTGGAACTTTATGTTTGTTATAGTATGGACATGTTCCCTTTCTGCAGACGAAATTTTATTTGAGCGATAGTTCGGGAGTTATATCATAAATATTGTTTTTTTCAGCATACTTATTATTCTATTAACGAGCTGAGTCATAGGCGCACTAACGATAATTAAACGATTTTCGATAGACGATGTGCATTATGGTACGTGAGTCACGATTAAGTGTATCGCATACGCGTCATTTGACTAAAAGCTTAACATTCCAGGTCAAAAAATCAGATCAAGATCTTTCGCGATCTTATAAAATCTTATGGAAAATCATACAAACGGATTCATCTTATAAAATCTTATAAAAATCATACAAGAATCTTACGCTCTCTGCGATGTTTCGTTATCGAGAAATTTTGCGGCTACGAAATGATGTCAAGGTGAAAGTCACTTTCGAGACATAGTGACACCAGTATCTGATGCATGTTTTAGGACTTTCAGCAAAACTCTCATAACTCTTGATTAGAACGTCATTCAGAGTTGGGTGATATCTCATTTTGCTCACAAATGTCTGTTCTATTTCAAACTTTTCTAAAACCCTTCATATCCCTTCAATGAGGATCAAATAACATTGGGTTCTGATAGTAGATACTGTGGGGCCTTAAGAAAACACCTGAGAATAAATTACAAATGGTAAAATCAGAACTTCAACCCTTGACTTTTCCGGATGTTTCTCATCGGTCGTTTTCATAAATATTATTTTACAAAAAGATATATTTGCTTGTCATCATTTAAAAGAATCTTTCGTTTACTATAAAATGAATTCTGTTTCATCGAATTCTTACTGCCTGAAAAGTTCTTTTCCGGTTCTAAGCTGAGAACCAAGAACCGCTGTTCTTTTTGTTTCGCTTCTAACTCGAGAACCGAACGTCCCTACGTTCAGCTGGAACTAAAGAGATCCATTTGTGAAAACATAAAAAGCTGAGATTTTCTGATGATAAAAGACCCGAGATAAAAGAGACCCTGAGATAAAAGACCCGATTTTCTGGAAAAGTAGTTTTCCAGAAACTCTGAAAAAGAGGGATGTCCGTCTACAGCGAAAATTCTAAATTCGAGAATTCCGCAGCAGCATCACCAAGTCAATGTAATCCGTATCAATCTTACAACCACACTATTTCAGAATTTCGGAACTTACGGAATTTACAGAATTTGCGACCTTTGGAATTTCCGAACTTTGGAATTTCTCAACTTTAGAACTTTGGAATTTCTAGAATTTACGAACTTTGGAATTTTGGAATTTACGAACTTTCGAATTTATGAACTTCTGAATTTTGGAATTTATGGAATTTACGAACTTCTCAACTTTGGAGTTCACGGAGTTTATGAACTTTGGAATTTATGAACTTCTGAATTTTGGAATTTATAGAATTTACGAACTTTGGAATCTACGAACTTTAGAACTTTGGAATTCATAAACTTCTGAATTTTGGAATTTATAGAATTTGCGAACTTTGGAACTTATAAAATTTACGAACGTTGCTGTTTACGTTTTTTGAATCTCTGAGTTTTTTTATTTGCTAAACTTCCTGGTGTTGAAAGCTATAACATAACGATCGCAGTTCGACAAATGAAACAGGAAGAGGTAAAAAAAGCTCAATCGTTGACCGGCGTAAGAGGACAGGGCATTTAGATACTGTTTTAACCAGCTGTTCTTCTGTTCGCAAGCTTGTGTGTTGATTGTTCTCAAATCAGGATAGGAATCAATGTTTCGATCAGTCGCGCACATTGTCCTTTTGTGAATTTTCGGATGCATACGGTCTATCACCAATCGACTGCTTGCAACGAATTCACTGCTTGGGGTTTGTTGAATGGTTTTTAAATCTCGATAGCGTTTATCAAAATAGACAAATACAGAGCAAGCATTATCATAGATAAATACTTTGGGCTGATTCTCCAAGTCATCTATTTTTTTTAGCATTTGAAACCAGTGATACAGAGTAACAAAGACCTGTTCGGATAAGTTTATTTCTAGAAAATCAACTATCGTGCCACAATTGTAAACCGTATAAATTAAACCATATGATGTATTCTTCCCATTTTTTAACTTCGGCTTCCTTTCAACGTTGCATTCATGTACGTCTACTTCCTCCAGCTTCAATTCCTGTAAAGAAATACTTATCCAAAACGTATCAACCCAAACATTTTATTTATCGGTATAGCTTTCAGCATCCGACATTGTTTACACAATGGTGATTCTTTGTCTACTGAAGTTTCATCTTTTTGTTCGTCAAGGTCACATCGTTTACGTTTTTTACTTAGCTCTGGTCGATTCCCGCACCCCAGTTATACAAACCCTGAACATCAACAATAAAGAGAATACAGTAAAACCTCCCTTAGTGGAGACTCCTCTATAGTGGACACCTCCTTATAGTGGACACCTTGAGGTCCGACGGAGCATTTTTTGCTGGATTTAAACCTCTACATAGTGGACACTCTCTTTAGTGGACACCTCCCATAGTGGACACTTTTTTTCAGTCCCTTTCATACCAAATACCTCTCTGTAGTGGACATTGATTTGGGGTATTCTCGTTTCGTCGACAAATCGGCCACTTCAAAGAATATAGATCAGAGAACATCAGAGGCGGGAGGGGCGTTGTGAGAGTGAGTTGTCGACGAAACAAGAATACTTCATTGATTTAAATTAATATGATGTTCTATGATGAATAGGATCAAACAGACACTATATCTTTGGTATGGTTTAATGACACATAAAAGACAGAAAAAGAATTGTCCATCTTGATGAATAGTTGAAAAGGAGTCTAGTTCTCTAGACTAAATTTCATTATATTATTCATAGTACTGCACGCATTCAAAAGGCTGTATTGCATCACAAAACTTGAAAAAAGACTTAACCTCTCTAAAGTGGACACCTTTGTATAGTGGACACTTTTGGGAAGTCCAGAAGGTGTCCACTATACAGAGGTTCCACTGTACAACTCGCCAAGAAACAATAAAGACAAACCTACCTAACTCTTCACTCGCTACTCCAGCAGACGAATTTCCACAAATAAAGCGATCAGCTTTCTGGAAGCCATCGCTGATAAATCCCATGGAACAATCTACTTCACATGGACAAAAAACCTTATGATTTCCCCAGAATTTTACAAATTTCAAATTTAAGTCATCAAAATGTTTCACCAGAAAATTCAAAATTTCTTCGTGATTTCTGAAACAGACAAACTTATCCAGCTAAAACAAAACAAACCTCGAAGTTTCTAAACTTACGATGTACATGGTATTTCAAGTACAACTACTCGATTAAAGAAAAACCACATTTGACAAAACTGAAGCACAAACCATACATCTGCAAGCCGACGACGTTCCAGTTTTAAAAAATTTAACACCAATCGTTCTTCGTCATATGACCCAATTTCGTGTATACAACGATTGTATCCGTTACAATAGTTTTCAAACCCACAATAAGTAGTAAGAATGTGACATGTTAAATGTATAAACATCACTCTATCATAAGCAAATAAACCACCAAAATATATAAAATTTTGCAAATTGTCAAATTCCAAAGTTCGTAAATTCCAAAATTCAGAAATTCTTACATTCTAAAATGCAGAAATTCTTATATGCTTTATAAATTCCTAATTATATGCTACAACAAAATTCAGAAGTTCATAAATTTCAAAGTTCGTAAATTCTATAAATTCCAAAACTCAGAAGTTACTACACTCCAAAATTCAGAAATTCTTATATGCTTTATAAATTCCAAATTATATGCTACAACAAAATTCAGAAGTTCATAAATTCCAAGGTTAGTAAATTCTATAAATTCAAAAATTCAGAAATTCTTATATGCTACACTTCAGAAGTTCCGAAATTCAGAAAGTCTTTTATGCAAAACTACAGAAATCCGAAAATTGAGAAATTCAAAAATTCAGAAACCCCACAATTCAGAAATTCTAGCAAGAAAGCTATGTATGTCTATCGCTTGCCTACAGTGCCGCTTACTTTCAAATTTAGTAGTTTTACAAAAAACGGACATCTCTGCTGAAAAACAACCAAAGCTTTTCTTAAGGAGCCATGCTTGTAGCCCGCACATTTCTGATTAAAATGAAATGTCTGCAGTCGGTTACATGTTAGATGATGATGATGGTGCATTGGTGGTACACGTCAATAACTTATTACCGGTTTATGAACGCTTGTTTTAGTTGACTTTTTGTTTTCTGTTTTGTTATCACCACTCCTTTTTTCCAATGAGCCGGAAGGCTCATCTTGAAGCCACGGAGGGAGTGTTATGACATTCCTTCCTCTTCCTCTTTTCCATTTCTCATTATCACAAAGAATGTTG